AGGTCTTTGTTGTCTGAATAAAAATCAGTGGCAGCTCAAGGGAGAGAACTCCTCCTACTAAATTATCAAAAATGGGCTGGCTTTAGTCTCTTAACAAATTGGACAGAGCTCCGGAAAGCAGCAGTCCCAAATCCAACCTGCAGGCACTGGGAACTTTAAAGCAACCAGGGACTGCTGAAAATAGCACTTCTTTTTGCTTTCTTTGTATTCAAAACTATATCCTTTCCTGACCGATTCTGTTACTCCAGGTCCAAGTCTCTCCAGTCAGGAGCCCCAGCTCTCCAGAACAGTAACAGATCCTTTAGCTCGGTTTTATTATTTTATTTTTTAATTAATTATTATTACATTTTCTCCCCCCTTGTTTGTTTTCTGCACATCTTCAGGAAGCCCTCGGTGCTTGTGCAAAGAGAAGCTCCTATTGCAACCTCTCTCCTTGTGCTGTGCGCCTCGGTGTAAACATTTTGGATGATCTAAAGACTCTGGGGTCTGTATATGGAAATAGTGGGGTGCAGAGCAGAAGAAAATACTTGTCCTTTCCGTCCCCCAGCCATGCTTTTCCACGGGATCTCCGGAGGCCACATCCAAGGAATCATGGAGGAGATGGAGAGGAGATCCAAGACTGAGTCCCGCCTGGCCAAAGCGGGACAGATGAACGGCCGGGAAACGGTAAGAGAGGAGCTGGCACCCTTTGAAAGGGAATCCCTGCAAGTGTGGATCCGCACTGGGACAGACCCTGGCTTTGGGGAGAGAAAGACGCTGCTTCCCCCGCCCCTTCCCTGCAGCGCCCTAAGTTTAGAAACCCTCCTGAGGTTCCTTTTCGATCCACCCGTAGTGTTGGGTGCTGTGCTGCGCTTGCGAGGCTGAAACATACGTTTGTCTAATAAACGCTGTTGCGGGTGCTCTCTGGAGTAACAGGAAAAATCTTTTAAGTTGTAACAGGGACGGTTTTTAAGTCACTACAGCGAAGCAGCCTTTTGGCCCCTGCTCGGCTTACTGCGATGGATCTGCTCCGTCCGAGCAGGGCGCAGCTCGAGTTTCTAAGCTGTACTTTACTTTTTGCACTCCTAGCACCTTCCAAATTAAACCACAAACCGCGACTGCTTACTTTTCGTAACCATTTTTGGTCTTAAGTGTGCGATTGATACAAAGAGGTATCGCTCTCCCTGAATGCTATACCCAGCGATTATTTTGCTTAGCAGTAACATCTCCTCTTTTTTTTAGTAAACGGATCAAAGCCTTCTTAATTGTAATATCCGATGGTGGAGAAAGTGAGCGTCACGCAGTGTTTTATGCAAAGCGAGATCTCCCTTTCTCCAACTTGTAGGGCTTCCGCTGCTCACGCACAAGGCTTTGCACACAAAGTAACGGCCTGGGAAACTGCTTTATCGCTTAGAGCGATAAAAGGTCTTTCCTCTTTTGTAGTGTAAATTCAACGCGCTTTTTCAGTTGCTGCAAAAAACGGGCGAGGAGCACAACTTCCAAATGGAAAACAAATAAGGAGTTGCGACTTTAAAACAGGGAGGTTTTCGGGATTTTTTTTCCTGTTGCTCCATCAGCCAACGCCGAAACTCTATCGCCGAAGTTAGACGGTACAGCTTTTGTTTCCGCTCTTCCTCCGGCTCTCTTTGTCCCGAGCGACACTCCTAATGGAGAGCAGATTAACGGGAACTTTCGGAGGTCTGTTGATGAAAAGATGCTAGTTTTAGGTGAAACCAGTCTGTGCCACCTTTCTGTCCCCGTCCCTGGCAAGCGTGGTGAGCGTGATCACTACTCTTTACACCATCCACCTGTCTCCTTGTTCTTACTTCTGATTTAAATGGCCTGTTTTTCTAGAGACGTGGTTTTGACTGGCTTAAACGTGGGTGAAAATTTACCGGGATATCGATGTAAGCGTGAACCTCCGCTACAAACTTTTGCTGCAGCAAAACGATGTTTTCCTGCTTGTAAAATGCCGTTCTTGTGGAGCACTCTAATATTAAAACGTAAAAGTAACGGGGAAGATACAGACTTTAACTTCGGGAAGTCAGAAAAGGGCCTGGTCTCCTATCCTTACCGAGGCCTAATATTTTGTCTTAACATATTGAAATGACATTAGATTGTTAGGAGAGGTTTCATGGGATAAACACGAAAGCTGAATCCTCGTAAATGCTTTCCTAGCGGGGATGGTCCCCGTTCGCCTTCAAACTTCCCCACCGCGGGCAGAGAGTTTGGTCCTAGAGAGCGGTTTCTCTGTATGAGCCCCTTCCCCGGGCCCTGCGCAGAAGCCCCCGTCCCCAGCCCCGCGCTGCCTGCTTGTCTCCCTCCCTTTCTCATCCCCTTGTGGTGTGGTTGTTTTGCAGAACATGCCCCCCATGAGCCCCGAGAAGCCTGCTTTGTGTGCTGGTTGTGGAGGGAAGATCTCAGACAGATATTACCTGCTGGCTGTTGACAAACAATGGCACCTCAGGTGTCTTAAGTGCTGTGAATGTAAACTGGCTTTGGAGTCAGAACTCACCTGCTTTGCCAAGGACGGCAGCATTTACTGCAAGGAGGATTACTACAGGTACAGCAATCAGTCCCTATGGGTTCAAAAGCACACCCCCTCTCAACGCATTATGAACCTAAGCGCTCTTCTGCACATGGGCTTTCAAAGGTAGCTTTTCGCAGGCAGCAACTCCTTAACCGTATAAACGTGTCCCCTTTGAAAAGTCTCACACGTGTAAAATGCTGAACGAATCGCCAAGGGACACACAGATTAAGCATGTGCGACGGTATACAAACAAACGAAGGAGAAGTACCCCAGGTCTCCTACTGCTCTGTGGTATCCTTCCACAAATATCTGTATAAGCCAACAAAAGTTTCCCTCTTTCCGTAGCTTGCCTATTTTTCCGCATGCTCCAAGAGCCGGGGAGCTTGCGCTCCGGCACCGGTCGGGTCTCCGCGCTAGTAAGGAACAGTTGCTAAGTGTCACGGTTTGGAAAGGCGGTAAACAACAGCAGAGATTGCTCTTGCTGGTGTACCAGACCACGCAGGAGTCGGGTACTTTCTGCTAAGCCACATGGCGTGCCCCACAGCCTCCGACCGATATTTGATTGCGGAGCCTGACGGGTGTCAGGCGCGCCGGTTCCCTGGAGCGGGCCCTATTTATTTACACGTTTCTGCTTTTCCAGGATTCAGTTCCCTGCCAAATCCGCAGTCTCTCTAGTTTTGAAACGACTGAAAAGAAAGCGGGGACAGATTTTCTCCCGGTTCTCCTTTCTTTATGGGCACTACCACCCGGAGAGCTTTTGCACAACAAAAGTCCTAAGCGAATAAATCA